CCATCCATCCATCCACCCACCCACCCATCCATCCATCCATCCATCCATCCACCCACCCACCCATCCATCCATCCACTGAAGCCACTGCTCAGATTTGGCCGGGCTCCTAGGTGCACTGAATGATCTCCCTGTTGATTTGATTTGCAAATTCCCCGATGACCTTGGATGACCAGGGTCTTTTCAGAAGCCAGCCAGTGAGGGCTTCTGCCCGACCGCATGCCATTTTCCAAATGGGACACTGTGGTAGGCAGCTGCCTGTGCGTCAGGAGCCGCCGCTGCCCTCGGGGGCTCAGGAGCACGATCGCACTGTGCGGTCTGGCCGCGGGTCCGTCCAATTTATGCTGGAGAATGATCTCCCAGCTCCTGTCTTGACGAATGAGTGCACGGAGGGGGGCAGGTCAGCGAAGGGTGACGCCCCACAGAGCTGCCAAAGACCATTTGCCAAAAGAACTGAAAACGTGGCTGTGATGGAGGGAGGGATTAAGAGAAAAATATAGGGCAGTTCAGGGCGCCCTTTCCCTCCCCGATCCAAGACAAGCCCCAAACCCTCAATTATCGTCAACATACTTGGAATTCCGTTTTTCTTTTTTGGCAGATTTCTCCTTTTCTCTGCTTCCCGCAGGGGAGAGGAGAAGGCTGCAGGAAACAGGGAGTTACTTACTGCAGGCAGATCGATGCCGAGTCTCCTCTCAGCTTCGGGCCCCTGACAGCGTGTCATGTGCATGCAAGCGTCTGACCGAATTCCCAAGACTGCCCGGGTCGGGGTGAAGGTCGGGGCTTTTCAAGGGTGTGTGCGTTTCCCAAGGGTAAAGTGATGCGTTCAGTGATTACGGGTTTATGTATTAGCGCAGAGAAGAAAGAACTGAAAATCTTTAAAAATACTATGCAGGGGGGTGGGGGAGAGTCAACACACTGTTTCCAGGGGACGGAGGAAAAAACTCTAAGAAGACGAGCGATTTCAGGAGAGGTTCCCTGGCGGATTTGCGGATACAGACGTCCTGGCGGAAATGGAAAAGGATGGAAGCAAATAAACAGAAGGATGTGATTCCCGACTGAGGTTTGTAAACAGAACCCCGAGGACTCGGAAAGGCAGCTGGTGCGGAAATCAACAGAGAGACTGAATGCTAACAGCTAAAAGGGAGCAGGGAGACAGAATCCAGTAAGTGCTCTCACTGCATCAGGATAAACTAATTCAGGAAACCTGTGCCCTGCTCGCCTCTAAGCAGAAAAGGTTAGTTGACTTTGTTATCCGTGGTATCAAAACCTGGAACCCAAACTACGAAGATGTGTCTTTATTTTCCATAAATACAAACATATTGGTACAATTACTTAAAGAATAATTTGAAGGTCAATCTGAAACAAAATTGGAGATGGTGATGTGGTACCTTGTGTGGGAGCAGAGAAACTTTCCTCCTATACTTTTGAGTGCAGTCCATAAGCTCTGCAAATTAAACTGAGAGCCGCCCAATCAACGGGAAAATCACATCAATTTTATTCTTACGTTTACATCTATGGGGGGGACTTCATAGAAAAGATGTAAAAATCCCCCCAAGACCATTAGACTTGGATTTAGATACCACTTAACCAAGCTTGGTAAATGGTGCAGGAGCATGTAAACCAGGGAAAGGGGGGTTGGCTTTCCAGACGTGGTATATTGTGGAAAGGTTAATATATACCTACTCTCTATACACTTATAGAAATCCATATCTACACTACACAGTAATGGAAGTTAAAGGGTTCCTTTAGTAAGATCTGTGACTTTCTCGAAAGTTGTGCTTTTATTTTTTTAAATTTTTTTTGTGTGTTTTATCTATTTCTAGGAGAGAGAGAGAGACAGTGTGAGCAGGGGAGGGTCAGAGAGAGAGGGAGTCACAGACTCTGAAACAGGCTCCAGGCTCTGAGCTGGCAGTCAGCACAGAGCCCGACGCGGGGCTCGAACCCACGAACCGCGAGATCATGACCCGAGCGAAAGTCGGACGCTTAACCGACTAAGCCACCCAGGCGCCCCGAAAGTTGTGCTTTTACTAGGCTACAGGAAAACCACCACATATGTCCACACTGTGTCTGCCAGTGTCGTTTCTACATTTTTCCATGGGTTTACCGTCTTCCACGCCAGCAGTCAGGGCTCCTTCTCAGCAGAGACGCCCTGTAGTGCACCTCAAGATCCTGTAGAAAAATTACCGGCCTCCTGGCCTGGAAAACCACAGACCGTCTGCACTGTTTTAATTGTTTCTGAAGGAGCCGGTTTCTTGAACTCCCTGAATTGTACCCGAAAGCGCACACCCCCATGGCATCTGTCAGACCGTACCTTGAGCCGTTGAAACACATCATTTGTTGAGTCTTCCCGTTTCACAAAACACCAGACGCGACAGGTGTCTCTGAGTTTCGACGTTAAGGGTTTTGACTTCCACGTTCTCGGCTCACCGCACAAAACTCTATTCACCCCTTAACCCCGGTGCTCACGGAGTCCAGTCCTGATCGGTCTGTCGCCGAGGAAGGATGAGTGGCTCCCATTTGCAGGGACACAATCCTTCCCGTCCAGACCGAACGTGGGCCCCTGAGGCACTGCCTGGATCCCAGCCTTTCCGGGCTTCCGATTCCAGAGGACTGTGGGAACATTACCCAGCTCCCAGCAGGAGCTCAGGAAATATTCTGAGCAAATTCGGGCCCCTGCGTTCCCAGCAGAGTTCAACACGTTTGGGAAATTCAAGCCCAAATTGGTATTTCCACCGGGAGATATGCAGACGCCTGCAACATCGTCAGGGATTTATTGCTCGTGAGCAAGGTCAGGCGGGAAGAGACGATTCTCGGAAAGATTAAGGGTCTGTCGCCCCAGGAGCGATGGATACGGATGGTTACGGATTGAGCTGGGTCCCCCCCCCCCCCACGCAGAAGACGACCTTGCACGGCAACAGGGTCTTGTAGGGGTGGTCGAGTCAACGGGTCCTTCAGGGTGTGGCTCTGAAGCAACATGTCTGGTGTCCTCACAGAAAGGGGAAGTGGGGGAAGACACAGGCACCCGCAGGGGAAGATCGCCTGACGGCACCCAGGGGACGGCGCTGTGTGGGGGCACACGGTCCTTCTGTTCTGAGGACGGGGACCAGGACAGGGACACACATCTGCCGCCTGCCCGAGGAGGGGAGACAGCATGGCCCCCACGTCCTTGAAGGACGGGCCGCGGGCAGCGCCTACTACGCTATGGTGGCCAGTGGCTCTGTTAAAGATCGGTCTAGACGTTGCTGTGAAGGTGTTTTGTTAGCCGGAATTAATGCTGAAATCAGTAGATTTGGAGGAAAGCGGGTCACCCTCCACGACGCGGGTGGGCCTTGTCTAATCAGTTGAAGGGTTTAAGAGGAAACACGGCGTTCCCTTCCAAGAGGAAGGAATTTGCCCTTGAGAATGCAGCTTGGAAATGCCACCCGAATTACCCATTTTCAGGCTCAACGCCGACTCTCAGTTGATTCTCCAGCCTGCTGGTCGACCGGCGCAGACTTGACTTCCCAGCCCCTCTGATCTGTGAGCCAGTTCGTTAAAGAAATCAGTCTCGAGGTGCCTGGGTGGCTCAGTCGACCGCATGTGGGACTCTTCATTTCAGCTCAGGTCATGACCTTGTGTTTTATGGGTTCAAACCCCATGTCGGGCTCTGTGCTGACAGCTCGGAGTCTGGAGCTGCTTCGGATTCTATGTCTCCCTCTCTCTCTGCCCCTCCCCTGCTCACGTTTGTCTGTCTCTCTCCCTCCAAAATAAATAAACATTAAAATTTTTTTAAGTATGTAAAAATAAAAAAATTTGTAAAGTAACAAAACCCCAAATCAACCCATCTCTCTCATACATATATATAAAACTATATATTATATAAAAAATATATAAATAGATTATAGGTTTTATATATATGTGTTTATATATAATATATATATATATATGTTTTAACTTGTATAATGATAGTTTTACCCCTTCCTAACACAATGAGACCTACTTTTTTAGCAAAGCAATTCATTTCCTCATGAATCAATTCCATTTATTACCAACAATTTTTAACAGACTCTGTCATCCATCCTTTCCTTCTAAGGGAGGAACGATCGATCAGGCGCAGCCCAGCCCAGCCCAGCCCAGAAGCTGCCTCATGAGAAACAGCCCACTTGGGACTTGGAACACTTTACAGGATTGTGATTTATGCCTCTGCAGGAATGTGGATTCCCGGCCAATCCATCTTGGCAATTATCACTCATTACCAGGGGTGTTTACATCACGGGGAAGCCGGGACCGAGCGTTTGAGTGCAGGAGAGCACTGTGTTTTATACTCAAGTGGTTCTCCAATGTCGGCGTCCATCAGAATCTCCTGGAGGTTCGTTAAGCCTCCGCCTCGGCTCAGGGCATGATCTCACGGTTCGTGGGTTCGAGCCCCGCGTCAGGCTCTGTGCTGACAGCTCAGAGCCTGGAGCCTACTTCGGATTCTGTGTCTCCCTCTCTCTCTCTGCTCCTCCCCTGCTCACGCTGTCTCTCTCTCTCAAAAATAAATAAATATTAAAAAACTTTTAAAAACCAATTATAACTACAATATTACACCATAACATAGATGTTAGTTAACTATAGTTAACTATAAATAGTTACCCTATTTATAACATGTATGTTATATAACAATTATAACATACATGTTATAACATATCATGCTATATAACAACTATATACTGATGTACACAGATGGTTATAGAGCTATAGTAATTATACCTCAATAAAAAAAATGCTAGGGGCCCCTGGGTGGCTCAGTTGGTTATACTACTGACTTCGGCTCAGGACACGATCTCATGGTTCGTGGGTTCGAGCCCTTCGTCGGGCTCTGTGCTGACAGCTCGGAGCCTGGACCTGCTTGGGATTCTGTGTCTCCCTGTCTCCGTCCTTCCCCATTTGCACTCTGTCTCTCTGTCTCTCAAAAATGAATAAACATTAAAAACAATTTAAAGCATAAAAATAAAAATAAAATAAATTTTTTAAATGCTAAAAATCAAGCACGCATTTCAGGATGTAGTAACACAAAACACTACAGAAAGTTTGTATAAAGTTATTCAATGGTGCTGATAACAGAAAAAGTGTAAATTGCTGGTTTTGTACTGTTGCACAGTCTTATTTCCTGGGATGCGCTTTCAACTCTGTGAGTAATTGTCTAGTGATATTAAAATGATTTAAAAACAAAAAAACGAGGGGCGCCTGGGTGGCTCAGTCGGTTAAGCGTCTGACCTCGGCTCAGGTCATGATCTCATGGTTCACGGGTTCAAGCCCCGTGTCGGGCTCTGTGCTGACAGCTCTGAGCCCGGAGCTGCTTCAGATTCTGTGTCTCCCTCCCTCTCTGCCCCTCCCGGCTCATGCTCTGTCTCTCTCTCAAAAAGAAAATAAACATTAAAAACAATTTAAATAAAACGACCGGGAATCAGCAAATGGTTAGTGGATAGTGGTCATTATCACGGCAGCTGAGACAGGCTTGTAGCAAACATAGGCGGGTGACGGGTGACGGGTGCCGTGTTCTTGCCATGAAAACAGGCAGCCTCGAGATCCCGGATCTTCCCCCGCGCGCACCCACCTGCCCTGAAGGTCGTCCATATGCAGCTCGCCCACGTAATGCGTGGCCGAGGACACGGTCACCACTCTCGCGCTGCGGCTGGGACAGCCAGACGCCTTGAGGTCGTCCAGGAGGAGGTTGGTGAGCAGGAAGTGGCCCAGGTAGTTAACCCCGAAATGCTCCTCAAATCCGTCCTTGGTTTTCCTCTGCGGGACCATCATCACCCCGGCTGCAATGAAGGGGTTTCAGGGTGAGTGACGAGGGGGACGGGGGAGGTGTCACAGACGCGGCTGCAGGGATGCGGACGCAAGCCCGGCGGAGGTGCTGGCTGCGTATACAGTGTGAAAGGTTCCAGGAGATGGACAAGCCCCTTTCTGCTCCCAAACTCTGCCTTTCTATGCCCGGAATGCAGAAAACCCAGCAACCACAGGGAAAGAGCAGCGTCTGCAAGATTCTGAGAATGTCTGGAATCACCAACAGGTGCGAGAATGTCCCAAATCACCAACAATTGCCCCTCGACCAGCTGGGAAGCTCACTCTTCTGACGGAAAAGCTGTGTACGGAAACAGAGGAAACCTGAGACGGGCTTCCCGGCCACGTGGGGATGGTGATGTCCCGCAGGGAGGGGTAGAATGAACCCAGAGCCTGCTCTCCGAGCTCATGCTCTCACAGCATCTCCCTCAACATCGTGCACAGGGTGCCCAGAAATGAATTCATTCCACAGGGTGCCGTGTGCAAAACGCTGACCCAGGTATTCACACGGCCAGGTCCCCCTTCCCAGTCTACCCGTTGGCTGTCATTCCACAAACACATTCGTAAACACACGTTCTGTGCTGGCTGCGTGCCTTGTCCCCCAGGTCCGGAAAACCCACACGCCCGTCAGGGCAACTCTCGGTCGAGTCCCTGTCCCTGCACCCTTTCCATGGATGCCGGCTTCCAGCCGCCCAGGAAACGTGACTGGGCCAGACGGAGCCCCATACTTGCCTACGTGTGTACCTGAATGTGTGTGTATGTGGGCGTGTTTTACATGCGTGCAATACCGTGTGTGTTTGTGCAGTTATTGCAGACACATGCGCATGTATTTGCACACTATTGCCTATGTGACCACACCTAAACAGGTATAAACATCTAGCCTTACGTTTTTCCAGCGTTTCACATGCACATATGTTTTTGCAAATGCCTACATATTTCTACAAGTCTTTTGTTTTGCATATATAATAGAGGCTCGTCTGGAGATTGTGTGTGGAGATGTGTTCGCATGTAAAACATGCATTTGCACGGACGTGTGTTCATGTGTCTTGTACATGGACATATCGATATATGTTTGCTTACGTCCGTGTGTATTTGGTGTGCATGCGTACACTTTCTAGGTGGAAACTCCTCTGCTTTTGTGTCTGTGTAGACAGTTTTCTGGCTGGCTTTCGAGGTCCCTCATGCACACACACAGTCCACACCACACCCGAGCCCACACAGCACGTCCTGTGTGCCCACATGGCTCTACATACCATACCCCATGTGGGATGATCGCTTGTGAGGTTCTCGAGGCAAAAGAAATGTCTGATCAAGGCTGAGGGTTTTAGGGGCCACCGTGAAGTGCTGTGGATGTAACAAGGTCATAAGGAACATTAGCACATGGGTCTAACACCTTCAACGAGGGGCGTACCCCTACAGGCTCTAAAACTCAGCAAAGGAAACGTTCCTTCAGGCAGATGTGAAGTCTGGCATTTTGAGAAAACGTAAACACGTCCCTGGCTTGATGAAGGTGGATGGGCAGAGGTCTGTCGGGGACGGGAGGGCTGTCCACTCCTAGCTGGGTGAGCCTGCTCGTTACGCACACTCAGCCTGCACGAGGCTGGTGGAGAGGGGACTCCAGGCAGCCGTGAAACAAGGCCGCACAAGTTTAGTTTTGAGTCACGATTGGGGGTGGTTTGTGATGCAGCAGGGGTCACTGGCACGTCAGGGCACGCCAAAATATTCAATTCCTGGATTGTCACAGTCTGTCTTTTTTTTTTTTTTAACATTTTTAATATTTATTCATTTTTGAGAGACAGAGACAGAGTGTGAGTGGGGGAGGGGCAGAGAGAGATGGAGACACAGAATCTGAAACAGGCTCCAGGCTCTGAGCTGTCAGCACAGAGCCCGACACGGGGCTCGAACCCACGAACCGTGAGATCATGGCCTGAGCCCAAATCAGACGCTTGACCGACTGAGCCCGTTTACTGACTGTGTTTCATAAACACACAACGAATCTGGATGGGAACCACCGACCCCTGGGACCCACCACGTGCACCATGGAGGGCACCTGACGGCAGGAGAGTTCCAAGGCACAAGCCTTGGAAGAGCTCCTCGCTGAAATGCTGCCGAGGCGTCTGGAAAACTGGTAAAGCACCGCATTTCTCAGCCCACTTCCTGGAGGCTCACAAACGGTGTCCGGAAGAAGAAAGTTGCTCAATGCCGGAGATGCACTGGCCATCCTTGACCTCCAGCCTTCCCTTCCGGCCGTTTGGGGATCGCGGTAAATCACCTCCAACAGCACCCCCAACTCTGAGCCCCCGAGGAGCATCCAGCCGCCTTCTGTTCGAGGCAGACCCATCACAATGCTCGGAACGGGAAGAGAGACCCGTTGGGAACCAAACAGAAGGCCCCCATCAGAAGCGCTCCACGCACATTCGGGTCCGATGATCCACTGACACAGGCGCGCTCAGTGGTGATGCACCGGCCTCTGCGTTCCCAGAAGGGACGTCAGGTGACGGCGAAGCCTGTTTCGCACAGGAAACGCCAAGTGCATACGTAGGGAAAGTGCTCCGGCCTCTGCCCGCCAAGAATCGGGCCCCAGGTTACTCCCTCCTCAGCGGCTCTGCGGTGGAAAGGCCGTCAGCAGGCATCTGGCCAGGCGAGAACCTTTCATTCCCCAGGGTTATTTTATTTCTCCAGGTTACCCCTGCCACGCTTATTTTTAGTAATTTGTTTAAATTTTTTTTAATGTTTTAATAATTTATCCGCTTTATTTTTTTTAAGACTATTTTAATTTTTTTTAAATGTTCTTATTTATTTCTGAGACACAGAGAGAGAGACACAGTGTGAGCAGGGGAGGGGCAGAGAGAGAGGGAGACACAGAATCCGAAGCAGCTCCAGGCCCTGAGCTGTCAGCACAGAGCCCGACACAGGGTTTAAACCCATGAAACTGTGTGATCCATGACCTGAGCCGAAGTTGGACGCTGAACCGACCAAGCCACGCAGGTGCCCCCCAATTTTTAGGAATTCTTGATGTTGGGAAATGCATCTCTCAGAGATTTGGGAAGGAGTCCTACAGGGAGAACTCATCAGCCCCGTGCAGTCATTTCAAGGCCACCCAGGATCCGTTGTGCGGACGGGAGACTGCATAAATACAGTCTTGACGGGAATAAACTGTGAATGTCAAGTCATGTCTGCAGGAGACATACTTTATTGATTCTTCGTGTGTTGGATAAACCATCAGCCTGGATCCAGAGCCTCCAGAAAGATGCAGTCTGGTTCTATTTTCATCTCGGCAGCAAATGCAAACACACTTTCCCGCCTCAAGTGCTTAACATTTGCAACATCTTGATCGCTCCAACCCTTAAGAATTTAAAATAAAAACAGAGGGGCGCCTGGCTGGCTCTGTCAGTTACGCGAGTCTATATCTCAGCTCGGGTCTTGATCTCGAGGTTGTGAGTTCAAGACTCGCGTCGGGCTCCATGCTGGGTGTAAAGCTTATTTAAAAAAAAAAAAAAGAAAGAAAGAAAGAAAGAAAGAATTAAAAAGAGAGAGAGAAAAGAAAGCCAGAAATTGTAGCTTCCCTGGGCTCCCAGAGATGTCCATGTCCTGATCCCTGTGTGGGGTCGGACTGCACGTGCTGACTTCTCTGAGCCTGTGGTTACGTGCCCTTTCGTGGATTAAGGGACTTTGCAGACAGGGTTGGCTTCAGGGCCCTGAGAGGGGGTCCCGGATGATGTAATAGAGTCCAGCTGTATACGTGTCCCTAAAATCTCACCAATTGTGCACACGGACAAGCCATCGCGGCCGAGCGGCCGTTAGCAAACCGCCGTGTGATGAAGGGCTCTGGTCGCTAATGGTGTCCAACGAGGAGATACGGTGTATGGGGCAGCCTCACTGCCCTGCGAGCTCGTCTCTCCATTGGGCGATTTATCACAGACTCGCTCTCATCACCTATAATAGTGACAAACGCCCCAACGAAGGAAGCTCGCCCCAGCGCCAAGATGGAGAAATCCCAACTTGCCTGTTTCGTGGGAAAGAGCTGATTTCTGCCAATACACTTCAGGCGCGCCCGGGAGGGGAAACGTTGAACGGGATCAGGAAAGGCCGGTGCTGAAGAAAGGAAGATTAAAAGCGTTCTGAGCCTTCCAAGGAGAGCAGGCAGCACTAATAACGCCCACACCGCGTCGGTTCCCTGGCCACGTAGGTGGACGTGGCGGTGGTTATGACCGTGTACCACACACATCACAGCCCTGTGCGCACACCACCGAATCCATTACACAGACCGTTGGGGTCGGGTCTTCTGAGGTTCATGCTCTACATCTTTCCCTTCGGCGAGTGTTTGCAATCAAGCAGGTGCACTGGGCTTCACCACGTCTACCTGCAGCCCCTCCTGCCCACGTTAACACCATCGAAGACGGGAAAATGCGGTAAGACAAACAGAAAGCAGACATACGGACAGCACGCGCATCCCGGAAGCCAGAACCACGCAGATGAAGGTGGTACAGCCTTGGGACCCGCTCCCTGAATACGACACCCACGTCCTCACCCGTGTGATTTCTTTCTACAGTCCTTTCCACGCCAAGTGAGTTTGGAGAAAAGACTCACTTAAGTCTGTAGGTGGAGAAATTGGGCTGGATGATCCAAGTGGGCTCCAGAATCACAAGACTCCCATACTAACGATCTCCCTGCCATCTGACAGATGACTAGTGGGCTTTAAATGTATTTTGCAATTAAAAAATCTTTTTGAGAAGGAGAACATGACGAGGGGAGGGGCAGAGACGGAGAGAAAGAATCCCAAGCAGGTTCCCTGAGGTCAACACATGGCCCCACGAGGGGCTCGAACTCACGGACCGTGAGAGCATGACCTGAGCCGAAATCAAGAGTCAGAGGCTTAGCAGACTGATCCACCCAGGCGCCCCTCCACCCACAACAGACGAATAGTTTAGCAAATGTTTTATATATTTTGGAAAGAAGGCACAGTGGCTGTAGCTCACGGACTTATGGTTACTGTTTTCACCGTATTGACTTTCATTTATCTCGTCTACACAAGACCACTTGGTCTCCAAGTCTGAAAGCGAGGTTGGACGTTCTTCCGGAATGAGTGTGTTTCCAATAGTTTCGGTGTTCTATGTGGAGTCAGTCTGGACATGTGGACGGTGTGGCCTCGTCACAGCGGGGGGTTTAGATGAACTCGTAGGACATCTGCTGAGTGTCGCTTGGGAAGAGAGGAACGGCCCAGGCACCATGGTGAGAAACCAGACGTGTCTACAATGTTCTTACAAGCCGAGCCGAAAGAAAGAAGGGGTCCAGGTCAAGGCTACTTGGTGTTGAAGACGGACAGGTGGGCAGCTTGAACGCAGGGAAGGAGACATGCTACCCTGTGTGTCTGTTTGATGCGTGTTGGCTTCAGAGAACTCAAGACACAGGTGCAAATGAAGCCTGCATCCTGATGACATGCCCAGTATTTAATAAGGTCACGCGGCCAACCCTCACACGTTCATAACGCCCCTTCCGTAGCCCACGTGAGCCCGTCAAAATATGGACTCCACACACCCTCTCATCAGGTTTTCCATCACTGCAAGTTGATGACACCAATGACAACAGCTAACGCTTCAATGAAGCAAAGCCTCTTGACAGAGTCAGTTAAGTCTCTGTAGGTGGAGAAATTAGCCTGGATGATCCACGTGGATTCCTGAATCACAGGACTCCCATAGCCTTCACACAGATCACACAGATTCATGAATTTCTACGGAGTCCCTCCTTCCCAAAAGACTTATCTCACGGGCCGGCTAGCGTACACATCTGTGTCAGACTTAACATCCGGATTTCACCAGGACTCACCGTTATTGACCAAGACGTGGAGAGGGATTTTCTTCTTCTTGAAATTCTGGACAAACTGCCGGATGGACCTCATGGACGCCAGATCACAGTATAAAAACTCCACTGCGAAAGGAAAGAAATGGCAGGTTATCTTCCGACCTATTATAGGACCTAAGGAGGTTTCTAAATAAGTTCGATTCCATGCCCTTGGCGGAGAAACACTGGACTCTAAGAGGAAGGTAGAATGCAGGGATCGTACCCTCGGAGGAGCCTGCGTGACTCATGCCCTTGACGACCCCCTGTCCTTGAGTGTAGATGGCGCCTGGGACTTGCTTCTAAATCAAGAAAATAAGGCAAAAATGAATGGTTGCTCAGTTCTTTGCATAGATTCTCACATATGGTGGAGATGATGGCCGTAAAGAAGTAAGCCGCCATGTTGTGACGGGCCACGGGGCAAGATGCTTCCGGCAGCTTCTGGGGAGTGACAGTAGCTGCTGGCCAATAGCCAGCAGGAAAGTCAGAGCCTCAGACCCACAAACTCAAGGAACTGCATTCATCAAACAGCCCCATGAGCTTGAAAGGACATCCTGACCTCCAGAGGGGAGCTCAGAGCTCACAGCCCCTTGGGGCTGACATCACTTTGCTGGCTCCCGGAGCCACAAGCACTAGGGAGTGTGTTCCACACTTTGGAACACATGCGTTTGCTTTGACTTGGAAGGGACATTTCCAGACAATGCACAGGCCCCACCTGCCTCGCCACGAAGAACGAAGGCTGTGTGTGCCAAGTCACATGGCCACTGAGACAAGGAAGTGACCGTGTTCAACATTTTCTGTAGACAAATGGAACGCGAGTAGGGGTGGGTGGGCGTGTTTCTGGATCAAAGCCCCAGCAAGGGTGGTCTGCAGACTTGCTGAATCCAGTGATTTTAAAAAAGCAACACTGGGGGCGTCTGGGGGGCTCAGTGGGTTGGGTGTTCGACTCTGGGCTCAGGTCATGATCTCACGGTTCATGAGTTCAAGCCCCGCGTCGGGCTCTGTGTTGACAGCTCAGAGCCTGGAGCTGCTTCAGATTCCGTGTCTCCCTCTCTCTCTGCCCCTCCCTGTTCATACTCTGTCTCTCTGTCTCTCAGAAATAAAAAACTAAAAAAAAAATTTTTAATAAAATATTAAAAAGCAACATTGGGAGCTCCCATTCGGCAAGGTTTTAAATTTTATTTTTCTAGTAATTCACGTCTTTCCTCTCTACACCACTATCAATCTGTGACAGATTTGGGAATAGGGAGTTTTGCCGCAGACGGTTTGGAAGCGTCGTTCTAGAACACAGGGCCATCTGGATAGGCATCCCCGACACACCATTCTAATTTTCACGAGGATATTTTTTTACGGGGGAAGCCCATGCTCCTTCCAATAACTGGCACCAATGACAACAGCGTTCGAAGACACACACGCACGGCCAGAACCAGACAGACGTTACGAATCTCTGCAAAGTCAGAAGTCGCGTCCTATCCAGTCCCAGGAGAAAAGGGTTCCTAACCGGCCGCAAATGTGAGTGCCTGCCTTTGGCTTTGAGATTCTGCCTTGCAAGGCAGCTGACGGGCTTGGCTCTGTTCCCGCACGCTGTTGCCACCGACACCTGCTTTACTCTTCGTTTCAGGAAGTGTGTCCACAGCGTTGCTGCCGCGTGGTGTCGCTGGGAGGAAGGAGAAGGGTGGCGTGAGGGATCAGCGGGCCGCCGCCGCCGCACGGGGAATGTGACCCCGAAATCAAGCCCCCACTGCCGGGTGGGCAGAAAAGTCAGTGCAGACTGGGAATCGTCACGGGCTCTTATCCCAGATAATGACAACACGCAAGGCAAGTCGCAGGGCGTGGGCTTCTAGAACAGAAGCACGGGGAACGAGCTTGGAGAAGACAAAGGGAATCGTACTAGCTAGACACTCGGCTGGTACGTCCACCTAAAATCCGTATTCGCTGCACCCCGCAGGTGCACAGGGAGGTGGGGGGGAGGGTCACTGACCCCACAGGGCTTGAGGGTGCGGGAAGGGGACACAGGTGGCATTTTCTATTCCACCTGGAACGCCATCAGTGATCCTTTCCATTTCTCTTTTTCTATTTATTTTGAAAGAGAGAGAAGGGAAGGGGCAGAGAGAGAGGAGAGAGAGAATCCCAAGTAGGCTCCGCACTGTCAGCGCCAAGTTTGAAGCGGGGCTCCATCTCACAAAGTTAGATCGTGACCTGAGGTGAAATTGAATCAGATGCTTAACAGACTGAGCCGCCCAGGCGCCCCAATACTGTCCAGTTCTCTTTAGGTAATTACGGACCCGGAAGTTCTTGAGAGTCCTCAAGGGGGACTCGGGGACAAGAAGTAACATATATAACACGTGTGCCAAACAGATGAATAGAAATTACAAGGTATACCAGTCGTCCACGTAAGGCAATCCAGAAAACTCACGAAACCGCTGGAAGGAGAAGTGAGCCTTTAGCTGCAGCTGGTCTTGATTCAAAACCAATATGGCGGCCGATATGGTGAATTCACCAGTATGGTGAATTCTTCTATACATTGATTGTGGTTCTGAAAAGTGAGGATTGGGAATAAAACAAAGGCCTAAACTTATCAAGCAAAGAAGCAAAGACAAGCCGCACTCCTACAAAGTAGGGAGAAGTCAAGACTAAAACATCAGTGCGACAATGGGGGCCATGACCCATGGGCCAGAACAGCCCAGTCTGTATTGCTCAAGACCTCTTCATACGCAAGGAGAAACAGCCAGAATCCCAACTGTTACGGACGGCTTGCGGGTCCGTGTTTGAGTATTTGACCGATGGACAGAGAAGACAAGAAAGAAAAGACCCAGGGGAGACTGCGGATAACGCACTTGACGGCGCTGAAAAAATGCAAATTTCCAAGTAGAGACGGCTCTCTGGTAATGGGGAAGATTTTAAAATTAAGAGTTCCCACTTCTCTCTATATTAATATGTTAAACTGGTAAGAACAAGATGAAAATTTCAGGGAAATGAGCACTTTTGCTGAGAAAACGCTGATGATTAAGATCTAATCAAGGAAATTAGGAGTAGTCAGAGCCGCGAATAGAGCAATAGAAACGTCACGGCAGAACGGCACCCGCCACGGGGGAGGTGCTGATGCTGCTTGAGCGAATTCTTTCCTGCTTTGAGAGAACAGCACCGCCACTGACCGACTCCAGACGCGGGCAAAAGGGTTGTGTCGATTCGTTTGATGATGTTTGCGATGTTTTGATACAGAAATCTGCAAAGGGGTAACGCCAGAGGGGAAGGAGACAAAAATCCAGAAACCACTTGACCCCACCGGTCACATCTATACACACAGATGAAAGCGTCACAAACACAAACGAAAATGAACCCCCCTCCCCGCCCGGGATGAACAAAAACAAGTCTGCAACCATAGAAGATCCCTTCTTCTTCTTCTTCTTCTTCTTCTTTTTATTATTATTATTATTATTATTTTGCAGAAAGGTTATCTGTTGAAACATGTTTCCCACCAGGAAAAGGCTCCCGGAAGTGATTCCACCCCCTCCCCAAAACTGTTACCCCTCGTGGGGGAATGACGGTGATTTTAGGGGAAATGAGGGTGATTTTAGGTCTTCCATGTCCTTCAAAAGGCTGAGAGGCATTGATTGTGGGGAAGGAGCTTCTTCACAAGTGAGACACGACAGCTTCTCCCAACCCCCGTCTCAACAGCAGACACAGTGCCCGGGGTCGGCCATGCGGGGAATCTATGCCCTGCTCTCCGGTGGGGAACAGAAGAAACTCCACCCTCCAACAGGAGGCAGGAAGGAACGGGGCCCCGAGAGCCAGGTTCTCCGCAGAAGGGTGGCGTTTTCCACCCCTCCCCGCCCCGCGCACGCTCCCTTCGGTCTGCAGAGTACAGGTGAGGCAGACGTGATGCCCGGTGCTCTGTCTCTCTCTCTCCAAAACAAATTAACATTAAATGGTGATTATAGTTAACAAAGGACTGAATGATACACTAGAATTTACCGAGGGAGGAAGTTCAGTGCGCTCACTGAGCAAAGCAGCACCTGTGGCATATGATGGGCATGTTCAGTGAATCGAATATGGCAATCATTTCAAAACGTATACGTACATTAAATCCTCATACCAAACGCCTTTAAAAAAATCACACTGGACCTCAGAGACGTGCATACCTCCATGAACATCTCAGACAAAAAAAAATCTCACTGGACGACCTAAAAGACACACACATGTGCATCAATATTTCAGTCATAAGCTTCAAGGGAATTGCTTGGTGGCCAGAAACTGGCGGAAATGTGTGTGTGTGGGGGGTGGGATGGGACCCCAATAAACGCCCTCCGGTGCCCATGGGACCATCATGCAAAGTGGTGACGTATGGGTCCGCTTGAGGTGCTAACAGCGCTGCTGCAGACTGAGATAGTTGTAGGCAAGCAGGTTTTTAGGAGGTGAAGAGATGCTATCTAGGGCGTTTGAGCCCCTCAGCTGCTCCAAGGCTCCTCTTGATTGGTCTCTGGTGAGAAAGGGGGGTGGTTACTTGGGTGTAGACAGGAGATGAACAGCTGGAGCCCAGGGACTACACACACACATCGGCGTGCAAGGCCCTCCTCCCTGCAGCTGGGCTGAGGGTGTGAGGAGCCGGTTGTAGCAGCCAGCTAGCTGCTGCGTAACAAGTCATCCCTCACATACCGGCTGAAAACGACACCTGCTCATTATGTCCCGGTTCCTCAGATGGGAAGTCTGGGTGGAGGCGAGCTGGGTCCTCAGCTCAGGGTCTCAAGAGGCTGAAACTGGGTGTGAGATGGGGTTGGGGTCTCAGCTAGAGCTTGAGACCCTGTTTCAGCGTCATTCAGGTTCTGGTGACATTCAGTTCCTTGCAGTATTAGGACTGAGGCGCTGTTTCCTTCCTTCCTTCTCTTAAACAAGCTCTCCCAAACACACCTAGACTCTGCAAACTGTGAGTTGATTACCTATTCATCAAGTTCTCAGACGTAGGCGATGTAACAAAATGCTCTGAAATTCTCCGTATTGTAAAATTTCTGTGGGTACCGTAGGGTCCTGCACAATTTACCAACTGCATAAATACAATCTCTGGTTCATCAATTTCGAAAAATCTCAGGCTT